TTTTGGAATTCTTGATTTAGAGAAGTGGTGTCGTTCAGTGAGCAAAACCATCAACACATTCCAGTTGTGCGGTTTTGATCTTCCCGTGGTTTTACAGCCTCCCAGTGCTATTTACACATATTTGTCCATTGCAACTGAACAATCTGGATTCTGATTGGCTGGTATTTAAAAAAAAAAAAAGAAGATGGGGTGGGGTGGGGTGGGGATTGTAGGACTTAAAAGTGAAACTGTGCAGTTTCAACTGGAGATGTGTTTTATATTTACATGAACTTGAAGTCCAAGACAAGTTAATTTGGAGGTAGGTATACATTGACCTATGTGAATAAGCTGCAGAGATCTGCTGGGCAGATGGGGCGCCCTGGAGGTAAAGTGACACAGCAAGCACCTGAAGCGGGGGAGGTGCAGAGGGTGTCCACTCTACTGATATCTGGAATTTATTTTGAAAAGCTCTTTCTCACAAATCACAGTCAGGAGAAATTAATAATTAGAGCATCGAGTTTGAATTTGTCTAACATGATCCTGTTTTCCAGCTGAATGAACAAATATATTAGCCACATTATAAACTGCTGTTCAGCAGACAGACAAACAAGTCTTCCATAAAATTTACCTTGCAGCTGTAACAGCTTCTGAAAAAACCGTGCTGTCACTGTCAGGACCGATCCCACTTTCTTTCACGAGAACTGGTTTGAATTTACAACTTCTAGATCCACTTCAGCAGCGACATCGCCATGGGTAACATGCTAACAGCTGTGACTCATAGGGTGGAATATGCGCTACATACCTGTAGTGACAGCAGGACCAGACTTCAAGACTGTCCTCGAAAATATGCGTGTGTGGGACGATGTAGCCACTCACATGTATACCTGAGAACACTTATGTGGGTGAAGAGCTGTAAATAGCTGTGACCTGCTCTAAGTCTGCTATTGACTGTAACAGTAGCATCTATATACACAGAAGTACATGTATTATGTCCAGAGTTTGCTTTTCTGCATTTTTTCTGCTTATACCTTTGTTTTAATGTGTTTAGTAAGCAGAGTCAATCTATGAAATATGAAATACTAAATTGTCTACGAAGTACCTTGGAAAAAAAAAAAATCTGTATTAAACAATATCAATATGGAAAGCAAAGGTGGAGGTTTGGTCGTATTGTTAAATAAAATAAACTCCTTGAACCACACAGCGTCTGGTATTTCAGTGATGCCAGCCCCGTCTCTCCTGGTCTGCCTGGTGAGGTTTGAGTGTGGGCTTCTTAAAACAATACCCAGGGCTATGAAAGTCTTATTGATCCGTGAGAACCACAATAGGTGGACTAAGCTCCTCTAGATGCACAATTCCCTTCCCTTGGACCAGAACCTGCTCTGACCCTTACCTGCAGCACCAGGAAGGCTTGAATTCAAGACTTGAAAACAACTTGTGTCCATGCTGACACCCATTTGGGAAATATTTTGCAAAAAGCTCTCCCGGGTTTTGATTCACCACTTTGTGTGAAGCCATAAACAGAGCAAACAGAAGCAGATTGAAGCTGCAATGTCACAGCCAAGTGGGGATTCAGACCCTGCTGATTCTGTGGATCAGGATTGGTTTGGCTACTTTCTGAAATGCAATCATGTTGGTCTCTGGATTGACCAATATGATATAAATGACTGTGTATGCATTTGCTCTGAATACAAGCAGGACAGTAGCAGGACATACCCACTGTATTCACTCAGGACCACTCCATCACAGAATCCCTCAGTTCTTTACATTTGACAGGAAGTTCTTGCAAAATTCCACACTACTCTGACATCTCCACAGCAGACACCACCAGCCTCTGTTACAGTGCCATTAAAGTGGTAAACAGACTGCTCTTACATTTCTACCTTCAGGGACAAAATGCTTTACAGTTTACCCATTTACACACAAATGCACACCAACAGACACTGCTGCCATGCACGGCACTACTGCTGCTATTACTACTATTATTTCTGCTACTGCTGTTTGTGCACTACTACTAGTACCGCTGCTATTGCTAGGACAGGTACGTATTACTACTGCTGCTGCTACTACTCATACTAGTTCTACTGCTACTACGATTATCCCTAATGTGACTACTGTTACTGTTGCTGCTACTAACACGACTACTGTTATTGTTGATACTACTACTGCTACCCTTAGTGCTCCCACTGCAGTATTACTACTGCCACTGTTACTACTCTACTTCTAATGCCACTGTTAGTACTATCCATAAAGCTGCAGTCATATGATGTTTTCAGTTAACAAAATGTTCCTGCACTGCACCGTAAAAAGGGATGTGATGTCATAGTATTGATGCAGGAAACAGAGAGTAGAAATTGATCACACTGTATGACAGACTGTTGGAGTGATGGTGTGGCAATAATGAGCTAAATACAGTTGTTAAAAATAATCCCTTTTGCTTTTCCAAACGGGTACTACCAGCTGGACAAAGGTGAGCAAGTGTGACTGTGAGGCAGCAGGCAGTCATCGTTCTGAAACAGGACACTCACACTTGACTTTGTCAACCAGGCTTTAGTTAATGGGAAGGAGTAAGTATTTGTTCTGGAAAGGTCATGCAATTAATAATTCATTGTCATCATATTTCTCCAAAGTTCCTTAATAACACTACTGATTCAGTGTTACTGTTGTAATCCCTCTGGATGTCTGAAGGATCAGACAGTCTGGTATCATGAAATGATCAGCAGTCTCTTTACATGTCAGCACTATGGATTTCTTGTTCTTTTCGCATGTCATTTCACGCCATGTACTCTTACTGAGCAGCACCTTAACCCTTCAGCAAAAAGCCTTAAACATGTCAACCTGACATGCGAAATGTCCCTGAAATACAGGTAATCTGATTATATGATGATCCAGATCACTGTTTCTAGATCAGCTTTGTGCTTGTGAGGAGGTCGAGTTTCATCATGGAGTACAGGTTAGAGGACACACATCAGTGCTCCAGTCATGATCAGCAGGATTTTAGAGTCTGTTTTGACGTTTCTGTCTTTCCCATGTTTCCAAACAGGAAAACTGGAGGGGACAGGTAAGTCCACATTCTGCCCTCACATGACACCATGTGCACAGAGCTACACTTTGAATATGGAAATATGAACGCTGTTTGAACATTTGGTAGGAAAAAATGCGAGGATGGATCCTGATTACAGTCTGATTGCTTTGACTCTTCTTTGCCATGCTCTCTATTTCACAGGGTTGCAAGCAGAAGTAATTTCCACACTCATGTAGCCCATGGGGTCTGTGTGCTGCTTTGAATTCACTGTCCCTTTGGGTGAGTGGGGGCGTGTTTGGGAAGTGAAAAACTCCCTGGCAGTCTCCTGCAAGTCCACACATGCCTGTTTGGGAATGTCTGTCTCACTTGAGGAGACTCCCTGTCTGCTTACCTGGAATCCTGCCACCTTAGCCAAAAGAAATAACTGCTAGAGATCAACCTGCCACAATATAAGACATGCACTCACAGGTCTGAATCTACAGGATGGACGTGGTATTTGCTTTAGAATCTTTCCTCTTTGGGCTTCTTCCTGCAGCAGTCCCATGCCTTTACATTGTGGCATTGCATAACCCACCAGTGACTTCATGTTCTCCCGGGACGCTGTGTGGGAGGAGAGTCTTTACCTGAGAAGACCAGAAGCACTTCCTCCTCCGCCCCGTCTCCGCGCACAGGTGAGTGGGAAGTGTTACCTGGCCAATACCTGCATTTACCTTCTACCAGACGGCTCTCTTTAACTCTGGAGAAAAGGTAAATTTTCATGTCTTCCTCTCCACTCTGCTCTCCTTTAAATGAGTCCGATTGCTGACTTGTTTACTCCTCTTTCATTCATTTCTTCTGCGAGATTCTAGATGTTTATTCTTCCTTTGGCTACATATGATCTGGTCATTTCATGTTTTACTGTCCTTGTCGCAGTTTAGACAAACCCTCCACAGTAATTACGCAGCAGTTTGGGTTGAAGTCCGGAGGTAAATATTGGGGATTTTCTTTTAGACGGTCGCGTGAGTGTCCTGAGGCGCATTATTGAGCGAGGAGGTTTCCCTGTGTGCTGGATTCCGCCCACAGAAAAGTGTTTATCGGTTGTTCCACGATAAAGACATGTGAAGTGCCGTAACTGTTATGTGATATTTACGATTTAAAACAGTTAAATCCTCATGATTCGTTTCACATCAGGGCGCACACGGTCCACAAGGTGTCCGGAGGATCGTCCTCCTCTGTGAGCGCTCATCTGACAGCAGGCGGCTGCTCTGGAACAGATAGTCGCGGAGATTAACAGAAAGGAACCAATTAGTGAGAAAACATTTCCTCTGCTTGTTTCGGGCACGTAGAGGAGCGCGGAGACGCTCAGAGCATGTCGAAGCTCGGGGATGTCCTGCCTTCACTCTGCTCTCTACAGCAGCGGGTTGAAATCACAGGACCGCGGAGTGTACGTTCTCCAGGAGGTGTTCTACGTTCTATGTTCTGTGTTCTGTGTTCTCTGTTTTATGTTCTGTATTGTGTGTTCTCTGCTCTCCGTGATCTGTCAGACCACTACAACACTCGCTCGTGCGCTCCAGTCACCTCGCGCCTACTGGAGGACCTGAGCGCGAGGGGGCGGCACCAGCTGGCGCAGAGATGCTCTAGCTGGAGAACGGTGCTGCGTTCATGTCCCATAGGAAATACCACTGCTCACTGCCCCATAGTTAGCCTCCATGAAATACAGGCGCTTGTTCCCTTAACGTTCCCCTTTTAATGCCTGATGCCTATGTCCACGAAACAGGACAAATGTGCCCAATGCAGTCAACGACAGAGCCACAGAGGTACAGAGGTGTTGTAGGGTGGCAAAATGTCTTTATTATTATTATTATTATTATTATTATTATTATTATTATTATTATTATTATTATTATTATTGGTTTGTTTTGGTCACTCCTCTTATCATTTGTTTAAGCTGCCAAGACTGTCATGCAGAAGTACGTGCAAACTCAGTTACAGTATATTAAGCTTTTTATGGAACCACTTATTTCCGTCGATTGATTGAAACCTGAAACAGTTGCTGAAGTTCTGCATTTTTAATTTTCCACGAAGCTCACGAGATAATTACAATGACATAAAAGAAGTATTTGAGACGGATCTTATGTAAGATACTGTGTTCATGTAATTTGGCATTTGGAATAAAAACATTGTTTTTAGTGCAGAGGATGGAAAACTTCACAAAGCCACATCTTAAACGCTCTGAATGTTTTATGGTACTTGAGAGACTCCAACCAGAAACAGTGTACAGTTATATACAACAGTTAGTACAAACAGACCAAAGATGTGACAGCTGCACTTGCAGGACACTAAAAAAAAAAAAAAAACACAGGACTGTCATTTTTACAGACACTTGTGCTTTTATACAATATTATACAAACTGCTGTAAAATCCTGAAATAGAAGCTCGGTCCAGGCCGGTGACTCCTCTCTACTGTGGGTTTTGTGAGAACGTCCAACTAGGTGTTCATCTAAACACACAAACTAGTCATCAGATTTCACTTCCAAACTCTGGAGGAAGTAACTGACTGACAGCTGAGGTCTGAAGCCTGAGATGAGCCGTGGGCAGGTAACAGGGAGACACTTTTCCCTGTTTTCCAGTGGTCATTGAAGGCAACATATTTTTCGACCGATTTGGCACGATTTTCGCTGAGCTTCTCCGCGCGTTATCACTGCTGCTTGTGACTGGATCATTAGACAGAGATCGTCCTCACACGCGGACGAGAGGCGTTTTAGCGCAGAACAGTGTCATCCTGGCAGATAAAGCCTTCAGGCAGGACTCCTCAGAGCTGAAGTGGCTCCACTAATCATCACACTCAGATCAATAACCCACTCTTTGTAGACACTGTCTTTTGGACAGATAGTTTGTGGACTGTTGGACTAATTCGACAGGAAACTGTTTGCCAGTAGTCTATCAGCTTTCCAAAAGATGAATAAGTGCTAGCTCTCCGTCCAGCGTTTCCATGCAACAGCGCGGGCGGCTGTGAGGAGTAGATGCTGCTGCTGCTGCTGCTGCTCACAGCTCTGTAGATGTGATAAGGGGCTCTCTACAAACCCTGTGCGCCTTCGTAAAGCCAATGGAGCAACAAGATGAGCCGGTCGGACGCTTAAACCACCATGATAGCGCAGAGGAGCTCGGTAAGAGACGTCTTTCCACATTTTGCATGAATTACAGGAACGTAGTGATGGTGAGGAATTGTGTGCGCGAAATAGAGAGTGAAAATAAAGCTCACATTTCCCTAAAGTCCCTGTGGTCGTTTAGATGGACTGTGGCTGCTGATGTGCGCACTGATTCAGTAGCACATGTTTGTGTGAGGGAAGCCCTGACTGCTGCCTCACAATCCTCTAATTATCTGTTTACAATCCACATGCTGATGGCTTTGACTTCTACAGAATACCAATTACTGTCTATCTATGCTGGTTTCAGCCTCGATTATTTGAATAATTTGATTATACAAATAGCTCGTTTGATATGTGGCTGTAACCCTTATGGCCACATCCACAACTCGCCACAACAGTTAACCTTAAAGGGTCATTCAGATGCTGAGTTTAGTTCACACGTCTTCAACTAGATGTGAGTTCACAACATGAGGCACAGCTGGACAGTATTTCATTACTGGTATAAGTTCACAGGTCTCGTGTACATGAAGGAGTAAGTAGGTGACATCTTCAGTGTCGGATCTTTGAAAATTTTGAGCATTTTAGTACACTTGAAGCGGCATCAACTGGTTTTTAGGCCACTTGAGGGCAGCAGAACAGGATGTAAACACAACATGGACAGAGTCCTCTTCTCATTTCTCAGTTTGTGCATCCTTAATTCTTGTCCTCAACCCTTTTCCTCGCTTCTTAGTCCCTCCTACTAGAGGTGAGAGTTGATGAGATGAGAGGTGTGGAGGTAACAGGCATTTAAAAGAAAAAACGCATACTCGCCTTTGAGCTGTTGTTTTAAAGAGACATTGAGTAAATCTGACATGTGGCGCTTTAGTGGCAGTTGTCCATGGTATTGTTAGAGCCGAGCACACAGTATATATTTACATTTTTATTATTTACCACATACATACACATGTTGTAAAGTATAAAAGAGGAGTGACACAAAAAACACAGTACTAATAAAGAATGTCATCATGTGACTGAGCAATATAAATTATTTACATGCGTTTGTCAGTCCTGCTCCTGCCATGCTTTATTGTATTCCAGCTGTGTGTCACACCTCTATTAAGTCACGGGTGTGAACAAGACTTGATGGATACAGTGAGGACACACCAGGCACCCTCTCATAGCTCCTCCACCTTGTGGATTAATCACTTCAAGTCATTTTTTAAGAAAAAAAAAAATCCTCTCATTGCACCGTACAAATCTGTACATTTTCTGCTTTCTTTCATCCTGTATGATAGTAAACTAAATATCTTTGCATTGTGGACAAAACCCCACTATTGTCATTTTGGCCTTTGGGAAACACTGATTTACATTTGCAACAGTTTTGTGACATGTTATAGATAAAACATCTAATTGATTTAAAGAGAAAATAATCAATAGATTAGTTGACAATGAAAACAATCATTGGTTGCAGTCCTGGAAAGTGGCATTTCCATCAGTATGTTTGGTTTGAAAATGTCGCATAAAATCAATATGGCATGTTTTCCATGTGAGCTGAAGTAGGTATTGTTTTTATTTTGCCCAGTGATTTGGTAAAGCATTTGAAAAGCATTTTTTATATCTGCACCTGCCAGTGGGCCATCACCACCAGAGTGGGAGTAATAATTAATAATAATGTTAATTTCTCTACAGTGGAGACCTGAGGTTCTTTTTAATTAAGTGGAGAAGACGTGTACATATATCAGCAATGGCAATCAGAGAAAATGAGTTGGAAAATATCAATATGTCAGATATTGACAAAAATCTCAGTGCAAACCCGTTGAGGTAATAATTATTTTCTCATTCTTTGCACACAGTGATCCATAATGTGGAAATACTTATTTGTGTAGCTTTAAGCATAAAATAATCATTTGTCCTTGTTAGTGAATCTATGTGAAGTTCATACTTTGACAACTATTACAGTATTTGTCCATATGGTACAGTCCTGGGCTCACTGCTTCGATTCACATGTTTCGTTCCATGTATACAGCGCGTCACTCAGATGATTTGTGACTTTTATTCTGTTGAGACATGAATTCTTAGAATTTTGTGGCACTCTTTTCTTTCCCATGAAATAATGAGCTGTCACTTTTTTTCCATCATTTGATATGAATATTCATGGCTGACGTGTACACACTGGAGCTGATGGTTGTGAAAACACACTGTCGATTCACATGCAGTTAGATTTTAATTCCTTCATGATCTGTTCAGTGTAACAGTGGTCCTAAGTATGGCAGCTTGATGTGTGTTTCACACTGGATGACTGCAGCTGCTCAGTGAAATATTTTAGCAAGTATTGCAATCTCTGGCATAATTGTGTGCGCCCAGTAATAGTTCTCAAGGCAACAAGCAAATTACTCTTCCAGTGTTTTGCATGCTGGAAATGTTACATCTTTTTTGGGTGTCTTATATCTGTTCATGAGTGCTTTACATGTACTTCCATACTACAATGACAGCCTTGTGTGGCCATTTACCAGATATGAATTTCAGAAATGTTGACCAATCATGGAGGCAAATGTTACACTGAAAACTTTGCATGTTAAGAAAATAGATCCAAGACACATGCTGGGTGCTGCCTGTCTAGGCTCTCTGCCAAGACATTTGGCAGATGAAATCTATTCTTGGGCAGGGTGCTGTTGTGTTGGAATATTTGTAACTGCATATAATATGCTCAAAATATAACTCCTTCATAGTGACATAAATCATATCTATTCTGATTATATGTATTTCAGAAAAAATGGAGAATTTCCTAAGACAGTGTTAGGCAGTAATGCCATGTGCTTTACTCACACAATGAAACACGTACAAAAATTTAGATAAAGTTATATTACATAAAATTCTATATAACCAAACAACAACCATACCTGTGCTGAGAGATGCATGCTCAGGTTTACATGAGGTTTTCTGTGCCTAAGTAGGCTGTTGTCCTGTACACGATCAAACCTGCCAGGCCAGACGTGTAACGTCAAGTTCATCTCAGGTATTTAACTGCAGAAAATAAACAAGCCATATCTGTTGGCTCATTATTACTGCACACATTACCTGAGGCACCGTCCCGTCTGAGCCAGTGTTACCTTTTAAATGAGGGTAAAGTCAGCGAAAGGTCATGGTAAAATAATCTGTTAACTCGTTGCCTGAAATGGGACGTGAAGGACACACGCTGTTTTCTACTGTAATCTGGTTTCATGGCAGCATAACAGCATCACACTGCATGGTCACAAGTCATTTCAGTGTGTAAAGAAGCAAATTATGCAGTTGTTGTTCTTGAAATGGCCCTCTCTTTTTTTAATGTTGTGATTTTTTTTTTTTTTTATCTTTCACTTTGTCCACATTTCTGGAGCCCTGAACACTTTTTTTGTGCTGTAAAGCAACTCATATCCAAGGATATGTATAAAAAGTAGATTTTTATTTTCCTCCTTCATATCTTCTTGTATTAGTATTGAACAGTTTTTACTAATAGAAACTGACAAACAAAAGAAGGCGAAATCCCAGTACAATACTGCTGTAGTAAAGGGCAGAAAGTGTATGTGAATACTTAAAAGTACCACTTATTTCAAGCTACAGACACTGACTATTTGGAACAGGACTAAAACTGTGGCTATTGTAGGCATGATAGGAAACGATCTGGGCTGTATTTTGGGCTCACATTTGAAATTTACATTTTGGGGACATTGCATTAACTTACATTAACTTGTCAAAAAGGGGTAGAATATGAAGCTGTTTACTACGAAGCACTGCACAAACACACTTTGTATGTTTCCTGGAAACTGAGACTGAGACCATTTGAAACCACTGCAGTGAATGTTTCTAGTGCTGCTTTAATGTACCACAGTGGTGGTTTTGGTCATTTTAGCCAAATTGCTTTACTTTATTGCCATACTGTATGGCTTTAGACAGTCAGTCACTGGTTTCAGCTCAGACAAGACACTATGAAGTCAACTTGTAGAGCTTTCGTACCCGAGATATACACAATCACATAATTCATGCTTTCCTGCCATTGTGAATGTGATTTTCCACTATTTCTGCCCTTGACGCACGCAGTCCTTGCTTGCAGTCATATAATACAGATGTCACGACCAATTATTTATCGTTGTGATAGGTTTGCTTTGAGCAAGTTAGTCTCTATCATGTACCAAAGTTAACTGATACCAGTGGCTGCATGAAAACTTGCAAATCAACTTTCAAAAGTTGACTAAAAGATTGACTAATTAATATTTTGTATTCGCTGTGACACACCAGTCACTCTTAGCACTCTCAACAAACTTGATTCCAGTTGCTGCAGTGTTAAGCCTCTGATATACCGACCGCACTCTGTCTGTTTAGCACCAAACCACTGCACTTCAGAGCTGGCATGTAGGTGAACAGAGTGGAACAATGAGCTGTAATAATATAATAATATATCTTTCTTTTGTTTTTTCTATTGTATCCAAGAAAAAGTTTAAGTGTTAATAATATAGGCATATACCGTTATAAATTGTTATGACCTAGCTCAAATGGCCACAACAAAAGGGAGACACCATGGATGAATATTCTATTAAGCCACATTACAAGCAAAATTGGACACTCACAATATGGACTTGTGGAAGTCAGTACAGCCCATGGGGTGCATGGGTGAGTAATGTGGGTGGAAGTGTTGTTAGGTGTCAGAACACATAAAGAATAAACTAAGACAAGACAATAAAACCAGAGGGTGCCTGTGGAGAGATACGAAGAGCGATTAGACTAATGCCAGACCTTCACAGGATGCCACAGGTGCTCCTGATCCGCCTAAGCAACCACCAAGGGCTCATTACACACACACACACGCACGCACGCACACACACACACACACGAGCACAAAGATGGTGTCCCAACATGATCACCGAGTTATTTGGAAACCACACACTCCCACACGCAAAAATATAATCACAGCGAGGCGTTCAGCATTACAGTCGTGCGTTTACTAAACAGCCTTGTGCTGACTGATGACCTGGTCGTGAACATTTTCAAATCTGTATTGCCAAATCTAGTTTCTGACTTCACTGAGATGGAATGCAAAGGAAACCACAAAGGACTTCTTTTAGTCTGGCACATCACAGTCAACAAGTAGGGCAACTAGACCTAGATGTAGACAACAATCCCACTCAATCTATCATCAAATGTTTAAGTAGTCAGCTAACAGCTGAAATAGGACAAAAGGGTGTGGCACACGGCAACATCTTTAATCTCGTCAACTGACTGAACCTCATCCCACAAAGCAGATACCAATAAATCAGCCCTTTGACTCCTCACCATTCCTCTTTCAAAGCTGATGGCGGAGGATCAGGCAGACAAACCACATGCTTTTTGAGAGCCGGGCTGGTAGTTTCCCCCGCTATCATACTTTATGCTAAGCTAAGCTAACTCCAACCTGACTCCAGTTGTGTGTGTAACAAACCAATGTGAGAATGGTATTAATCTTCTTGTCCCACTTCATAAATACAAGTTCGTAAGCAGACATATGTTGAACTAGCATAAATCATTGCATGCAAACTGAAGGTATAAACCTGCCATCCTCGCTGCATATTGCACACAGCTGTCTCCTCCCCTTCCATTATCTGCGTGTCATCGTTTTCAAAATCCCCTTCACCACGGTAAATAACAGCTACAGCTGGAAATGGCAAGTTTTGATGATTTGTATCGTGCAATAAGGCAGTTCTGGTTCTTGTGCATGCCTGTCTGTTAATGTGATCTGCATGCACTTCAGAGTTGTGCTGTGTTGAAAGTGATTCTGAAATGTTAGTAGGTCTGATCTAGTAGGATTGTTGTCATGGCTTTTACAGAAAAGTGAGCAGGGTGTTAGCTCAGACATGAAACCAACACATTTAGATGCCATCAGATTAATGTAAACAAGTGCATGTGTGAAAGGGGCTGTGGTCTGTCGTTGGAGAACACCCACTGAGCTGATACATTGTTTCTTAGATTATTCTCTGCTGAAACTGTACATTCATGACATCAAACACATCACATAACAGCTGGACTGCACAAAAAGTACAAGTTCATTTTGGGGACATTATACATTTAAAGCTCATAATAAATACAACAGCTGAGCAAACAAGGCATTTATCAGTATCCATGGTGACAGCTGTTTCCTGTTAGTGGAGGGTTTTTTTTTTCTGCCCTTCCTTATGCTGGGAGCCTCCGTAATTGTGAGTGTTAATTCGAATAAAATGAAAGTCTGTAGTGAAGGGCTTTATCTTGTTCAGGGCATGAATTCACACACCTAAGCCGTTTTCACACATGCACTGCATCCCTCAACTGAACTGTGTGTGGCAATGCAAATGTCTGAATCCGTTGGGCCGAACATAGCTCCCTGGTGCCAAGTCCATGTAAGGTGTCATGCGTGAACACAGTCGGTCACAGTGATAGAGTGTGTATGCTGATGTGCATCATGTCCTGCATCCTGCACGCTCTGCCCAGAAGCCACCACTCATCGAAACCAAGCTGCGATTCTCCAGTAGTGACATCTCATCTGATGTGGACACACTACTGTTATGTGCCTTTATGTGACGTTTGCCAGAATTCATGGTTGAATCCTTCAGACTGAGACTGATTTGTTTACTGTCACTGTGTCAACTTTGTGAGAGACTAAATGTATTGGAATCAAACTTGCGAGTTCATTTGTTTCTGTGGAGCTGATCTCATCCCAAAGTATTTTTTTTGAATGCCACCTAATGTAATTGATACTGAAAGTTTATGCAAGATGCGTGGAGCGGCTGCTGCTTTACATAGTCTAACAGATGTGATTGATGTTAACATTCTCCCTTTGCATCGACCAAACCCTCAGCTGAGGAATTTTACTCTGTTAAAGGAGAAAAAACTATGTTTGCTTGACGTGCTGCAGTTTGAACCAACAGAGAGTTCTGCTTCACCTGCTGAATGTCACTGAAAGGGAGTCAGAACAACGTGGCTGTGTCATGTTCTGGTTTCTGATCTCCTCCTTCAGTTGAAGGGTGTAGTATTTGGTATAGGAGGGGCAGGGCCTTTGCTTGCTGTGCCCAGATGCTCATTGTCTCATAATGGATGGCTATGTCCATGACGCGTTTAGATTTCAAATGAATTTTTTTACTTACGATGAATCAAAATATGAATCAAAAGTACAATATGGGGCGCCTCGGTAGCCCAACAGGTTCAACAGGTGACCCATAACCAGGTGCTATAGTCCCGGATGCAGCGGCCATCGGTTTGAATCATAGACTGTATAAGAAAGATGGACGTAGCTACCGTGACATCAGCTGTTGGTTTCTGCACTGAGAAAATGAAGCCGGTATTTTGCTACTTCCTGGTTGACATCTTGGATTTTTGAGCCAGGGCCGAAAAAGAGATTGTAAGAGGGCAGTGCCAGAGAGCAGTGATTGGTCAGACGGACTGAGAGTCGAGGACTCTCTCCCTGCCCACATTTACCAGCTTCTGCCATGTTTGCCGACACTGCTGCTAACAACATTAATCTCCAAAACTGGAGCTAGACTCTCAGGTGAGTGTTAAAGTCGTCTCAGTAGCTGATTGTTTTCTGTCCACATCTGGACGAGGTTACATATAAAGCAGCGACCTGCCTTACTGTAGCTGAAGCTACCGTAAGTTAACATCAGACTAGAGCCTCTGATGGTAAAACATGATCTGACATCGCGTTTAGAAGTTGTTCTGTAAATCTGTGGTTACGTTTCCTGACTAGTTAACACTGATGCTACATCAGGTTTGTCACTGTCATACATTAGTTACCTGTTGTCTGTGACTAGTTTCCTGTAGGTCACAGCTGATCAATCACAGACAGATTGATAACGTTATTACAGTCTGTTAACTGCTGCTGTCTCATGGCAGACAGGAATGATCATCAGAAACTAAACCAAGCTAACATTACACCACAGAACACTGATTTGTGTTAAACACTCGGCTCAATGAATGAAGCTCAGTTCAGTTCGTGTTTCTGTTCTTTGGTTTTTAACAGCTTCTGTTCATTTCACCGAGACAAACATCTGTTGAAATGATTCCTTCTCTTCCAGAAACAGTGAAGTTACTGAGGTCTGATCACCATGACATGAGCCTCACACTGAACCTCAGAGGTCAGTCAGAGTTACTTTATGCTGCTGTTTAATGTAAATCAGTCTAGCAGACTGTTCTCTACTACGGTGTTTATCAGCTGGCTGAGGAGCTCATGTCATCAGAGTGCTGTTTTCCCTTTTCTCTATTAATCACACCATAATCAACTATAATCATACTTTGGAATAAAAAGAATCAACTTTATTGTCCTTCTAAGGCAGTAAAATGTTCTTTGACCTTATCCAGGGAAACAAACACTTCCTTGAGATTAAAAAAATGTCAAAAACATCACACTTTCTGTTCACGCTCATATTTCATGTTTCAGCAGTTGGAATGAAAGAACATTGTTGGTCATTTTCTTAGTGTTTGTGTCTTTTCCTTCCAGCCATGATATGGATCATTGGGAACATCTAGTCTGATGTGATCTAAGATCTACAGAGAACATGAACATTCAGTTGAGGTTGCCTGAGGCTAAGAGTCTTCTCTCCTTCTTCATCCCTGTTAGAAAGAGCAGCACTGATGTCCTCCTCATCTATCCAGTAATAACAATAATGTTCAACTGCACATTCAGCTCCCTGTCTTCATAAAGTACTTATTTTATGACTGTTAAGTATTTGCACTCCACTGTAAGCTGGGCAACACATTTATTTCATCCATTTATTACATACTTTGACACATCTTTCCAGTTCAGAATTGTTTAAATAATGTAGTTTTTTTAATGTGTAATAAAGATATTAAAGAAGCTCTTGTCCTGAATGTGTTGATGTTTCAATTTTGCGTATCTGCTATAAATGATGGCAACATGTTCTCCATATTGTAATGATGCAACAACAGCAGAGATGAAGTTAAAGGTGATAAATGGAACCTGTGAATACTAGGGCTGGACCCGAATATCCGAATATTTGGTTGTTGTGGTGGTATCCAGATACCAATTTTAATATCCAAATATTCGCCTGCCATCCGCCACTGTCAGTCATTCTAGCGCCGACTGTCAATCAAATAGCCACGCCCCCAAATAACCGAAACCTTGACGACTTATATTAAATTCAATATTCAGTTATTTTCAGATTGGCCACCTGATTGCTTGTTTTGACCATGAAAATGAGAAAAAAAATCCTGAGCTGTATTAAAGCTGTCTTTTGTGATCTGTGTTATCCTGTTTGGAACTGGGGTCTATGGAGCCAGAGCTTTCTGGTGTCAGCACCTAGTAGACGTAGTGGTACTGCAGGTTTTTGACACTTTGGGGTGGCTTCATTTTTCAGGGCCAGTTGCTAAGTCCGTCTTTCTTATACAGTTTGAATCCAGCCCATGACCATTTGCTGCAGGTCCTTCCCCCATTCTTCTCTGCACTTTCCTGTCTCTCTACTATCCCATCAAATAAAGCCGAAAAGCAAAAAAATAATATTTAAAATCTTTTTTAGAAAGTACAATATAGGAAAAGGTTATTTGTTTATTTATTTATTTTCTGGCGTTTTTGCCTTTATTGTATAGGGTAGTTAAGACAGAGAAAGGAAAGTGGGGGAGAAGAAAGGGGGAAGGGATTGCAGCAAAGGGCCATGAGTGGGATTCAAACCCATGGCTGCCACGTTGGGCACTATAGCCGCTGTACATGGGTCGCCAGCTCAACCAGTTGAGCTGTAGCAGCGGCCCTGAAAAAGGTTATTTTAAAAGCCAAAACCAAATCCATCTCTGTGTTCTTCCCCCAGGTTCTCCTCCCTTCTCCTCTTGTGAGCACTCAGGCAGCCCACAGCTGGAGGAACCGGCAAAGATGAGGAGGAATGACCACTACCTGCCAGTCCCCGGCGAAGAAAAGAACCTGGATGTGGACTTTGCCAGCACTAAGCCCAGGAGCAAAGAGTCCATAGTAAGAAATTACATCCACATAATCATTGCAGTATTGCAGAGTTCCAGTGCGTGATCAGAGGTTTGAGTGAGGTGCCAGCAGGTGTTCAAAAAACAACAGGACATTAGTTACTGCAGTCTGTCTTATTCATGGCACCACTGCACTTTCTAACATTCACCATGTGTCATCTGTCTGGGTTTAGGTTAATTGGTGATTAGAGATTGGTCATAGTTGTGCGTGTGAGTGTGCATGGTTGTCTGTCTCATTGTGTTGTCCCTGTGATGGACAGGCCACCTGCCCAGTATCAGCTGGGACATGCTCCAGCCCCTGCAATCCTCTATAGGATAAAGCGGCGTATCACTAATGAATGACTGCATGGATGACAATGATGGAAAACATCCTAAATCCACAATGAAATCATAGAAAAATACTGTCTGACTGTTCCTAACTTTTCTTCAAGATCACAATCATTAATGAACACATTAACGGGTGCACCACGAATGGAGGCTGCCAATAGCTGATTCAGGATAACTTCAACACTGACAAAACAACTAAGTTAGAAAATATAGACTAAAAAACTGAGGTGCAAGTTGTGACCCGCAGCCAGCTTAACTCCATGTGATTCATAGAAGAGGCTGTACATCCTGTTTACATCTGTAGGGCTGATGTAGAACAACTGACCATGGATCAGTTCAGTGGTTTAGCATGAGAAAAGCCAGATAGGTAACAAGTGAAATATTATTGACAGATAGGATTTTCATTGCACACATAGGATATATATATTAACTTGACTATGCCTTTAAATGTGTCTAGTCAATAAACATAGCTGAAGAAACTGCTAAAATACTAAGTCTATAAAAAACAGATGAAAAAATAACTTTGAGATAAGACTAAGGGATTTAAACATTTGTGATTAATAAAGCAGATGTGGTGTATTCTGAGTGGATCTGAAAGAAGTCAAGAGGGGCAAAATAGGCCTGTATATGTAATACATTAAATCTTTTAATAATATTATTTTGCTAAATACTTGTAATGTGAAGGTCCTTGGGCCTTTTTATGGATTTGCAGCTACTATACATGGACATGGTAGAGGGGTACGCAGAGTTGTTGTATCCTTCGAATGAGATGAGATTTACTGTGCTCAGAGGAAGCGGTGTAATGAATAATCAATTCATTGATTAATTGTCAGCTATTAAAATATTCACTAACTATTTTCATAATTAATTAAATGATTTAAGTAACAAAAATTAAGTCTAATTTCTGTGATTCCAGCTTTTTCTATATGTTCTGGTTTCTTTACTCCTCAGTTTGTACTTACTGTGACAGTAAACTGAATGTCTTTGGGATGTGGACAAAAGACATTTATTGACAGCAACAACTAATCAGTTAATTGAGAAAGTAATGGACAGATTATTTGACTGAAAAATAACTGTTAGTTTGACAGTGATTGCAAGTGCATTTATGCCCCTTTCAGGCTGTTGGTGTGGGGTACTGGTGTGCAGTTATGCCAGTTGTTCTCCCACGTGAGGTTCTCCTGCTGCGTTGGGAAATGTCAGCGCATACTGAGCCCTGCAGTTTATCATGGCTAGCTGTTTCCAAGCCTTAAACATCTAGTGATGCTCTGAATATAGCAGCATTATGAGCATGGCCCTTTGTTGTGTTTACTGCCACTGAAGAATAATAAAATTGTTTGTTCACATAAGCCGACACCTCTCTGCTAGCCTCTCTGAAGACTTGAGCAGTTAAAAGGTTTCATTAGCTTAGGACCAGACTGCTCCTAACATTGTTCAGGCCTGCAGCTCCAGCAGTAACACAAGATTGTGTGTGGTTGTTCTTAGTGTTATTAGTCCCAGACTAGCAGCCTGCGTGAGCATCATGTGGTTAAGCTCTGTCAGGAGAAATGAATTCATTCCTTTGCCTGGACTGGTAGTCATGTATGGAGCATTTGGGATCAAAGGGAGATTTTAATATCAATTTAGTATTCATTAAATCTTGTTGATGCATACTGTACACACGGTGTGCTTAGAATAAAAATGAAATCAGCAGAAATCTAATGATTTGAATTGACAGCAACCGTATCTTCATGTCAGCAGTTCTAAGGTCATCTGACTTCTGCCTTGTTAGTTTCTATATCTTTGCTGCACTCATAAAATGTATTTATTGACTTTATATTTTCTATTGTTTAAAAACTCCCAGAATAAATTAGGAATATTTGGCATCAGATTATGTTGATTAAGAAAGATTAATCTTTGTTTATACTAGTTAATTTTTTAGTCATAAAAAATAATTTGCAGGTAAAGTCATCTTAATTTTAGTCTTTTTTTCTTTTTCTTTCTTTCTTTCTTTCTTTCTTTCTTTCTTTCTTTCTTTCTTTCTTTCTTTCTTTCTTCAAACTTGTTGACATTAGAGTTACAAAGGCCAATTTTTATTTGAAACCTATTTGACATTTCCATATAATTTACTAGAAGTTGGACCTCATTTCTTTTTACAGATGTGCTCACACCATTTTACAGTAACAGTTCTGTTTCATGGCTGTTGCTTTTTGCTATAAGAAAACAGTAAAGTCCTTATGATGAATGTATGTTTTATTTCCTCTATTCATTTATTTTCTAGAGAAAATTAGGATCAGGTTGTTGTAATCATACGAAAACTGAATTTTCATGTGAAATCGAAAAGTAAAGTCTGGGCGGCACTGCTAAGGCCGCTGCCTCCGCGTCCTGACTACGGATAAGCGGGAGAAGATGGATGGATGGATGGATGGATGGATAATCTTGGGTGACAGGCTGAAAAAATATAATATATTGTACAATTAAATATAGATTTGGTTCTAAATGAGGACAAACCCCCTCCCCAAAAAAAACAGCCAAAGCTAGTTTCTTGGTTAATAAAATAAGGTTTAAATGTTCATTTGCATAATGTGATTAAATGGTCAGTGGTGCAAATCATCAATTATGTTTTAGGAATTAAGGGCTACATCCGCTGTAACGTTGGAGGAAGTTTTGCTCCCAGACTGCTCGGTAGCAGCAGGAAAGCTTCTGTCTGGTTGCTGCGTGTGGGATAAAACCTTTTATACGCTGATTTACTGCTTACCTATAGTGATATCTAGCCATGCAGAAATGTGTTCTTTTTGTCCCTTGATTTTCAGAAATACGGTGATATATTTACTGCTGTGTACATTGAGGTCATTGAGGTGTGACATATATTCATAGACCTCAATGTGCAGTGGCTGTATTTTTGTTGTCTTAATGCTGTGAGCTCCACAAATTCCCTTTCATTCACCTCTACTGGATTCAAGCGTAGAGATTTTTCAAAACAGGACAAATAAAACAAAACTGCCTGCAGGGAAAATACACCCAGAAAATGTATTGGGGAGTTGAATCTGTATCAACAGACAAGTACAGTTATGTTTTGTCTGTTTGGGCTTGACGTTCATTATTGCCTCTATTGCAGTGCTGGATACTGAAATCTAAATTACACATTAACGTCCTGTGATTTAAACCCTTCAGCGTGCAAAACCGGATTGTTCCTTGGTGCTGCCGTGAAAAGCAGTTATTGACTTGAAAACTGCTGGGCTGTCTCATCCTGCATTTATCATGGCTCCGTCAATGTATGTGTGTGTGTGTGTGTGTGTGTGTGTGGGTGGGTGGGTGGCTGTGTGGAAGCCCAAAGGGGAAAGGAGAACCTCATTTCCCGATGGCTTGGTGAGAAAAGAGTTCCTATTGGTGAGTGATGTGAACACCACCACATCCTCATGCGCCCTCTGAGAAGTGACCTCTGACCTTTGCAGCGATCACGACTTCCTTTTGAGAGAGAGCTGAACAGGAATTTGTGTTTATATAGTTTGTACACATGTTCACACGCACAGACACAACAGCCCCTGATGATGTTTTCTATCACAGACACACACTGGAACACACACTGTTGCTGCACAGCAAAGTGGGAAAGCTTTCCTTATCAGCACAGTGCCTACTGTATCAATATTAGTTTTGTGATTCATTGTTGGTCTACAGCCATGAAGGCAATTCAGATCCATTCCACCTGAGTTTATGACTCTCCTATTGACAGTGGACTGTCTGATCTGTGTGTAATGTAATTGTGACCTTATCAGCATGTAAACATCTACTACAGATAGCAGGTGCTTTTAATGCTGTCACAAATTCCTATCCAGTATGTGCTGCCTTCACTTTCCCATATTGCTCTCGTTGTTACAAACTGCAACCTCAGTGGCACTTCTGTGTGCTACTGGTACAGAGCGGACCGCTGAAGATTTACTGCATTTCACGACTCAACTTATTTACAAAAAAGTTATAGATTATGTGGTACAATGTCAGCGCATAGAAAACTATTTAAATTGATGACTGATACAGGCGTTAAATTTATAAATGTACTGGTTTTGATCAGTCTCTGTGCCTTCTGTTTGTGCCAAGTTATCCTTTAAAGATTATTGATAGATCTGTATTAATCCTCTGTCCTCCAAGCAGTTTGTGGGTATTTTTTGACAGTTTTCTACACTGTGGCCCATTTTTCACTGCAACATAAAGTCCTGCAGCTGTGTGGAAACAGCACAACCAAGGCTGAGAAGTTCAAATGTCTTTTTGCAGTATAAATCATTAAAAGAAAAAAAAAAATGCACATACGTTGAATTTCTTCTTAAATATATATACATGCTGAGCTCAGCTTTAGAAAGATATTTCACTATGCTGAATGCATCTTGAATAATCCTCTGTATGTTAGAACTGAGCAGAGTTTTTCCAGAGTTAAGCTGTGACACTCACACTTTTGATGGTAATTCTCCATTTTGTTTTAAATCTACTATACAGTGAAGATCTGATCAAAAGCCTTAAAAAATATATTGCAAGTCAAATCACAATATCTGTAAAAAAAATAAAAAAATAAAAAAAATGCAACTAGACATTTTCCATAAATCCTTACTGTATATATTTTAGAACTGTTTTGCATTTATTTTATTGATCCAGCATGTTTTTTTTCCCCCCTTTCAGTCTCTCTTGTTGTCTTCTCTC